AAAAAGTGCCAAAAAGGTTAAACTCATTTTTTAAGAGAATGATCGTCCGACTAATAATCAAAAAACATTTTACTTGCATTGACAAACTGAAGTTTACCGTTCCATTCTTGAAAAAGCAGGTCTAGCGGTTCCAGAGATCGATGTGAAAAAAAGTATTTTTTTTTTTTTTTTTTTTTGTTACAATTTATTTTTGTTAATCAAGACTTTAATGTCTTATTTACAAAATTGATATATGAGCAAAAAAAAAAATACAAAAAACAAAAATGCAATACATTGAATATAATGAAAAAAGTTGAAATAAAAATTAAATTAAAACAGTAATACAAAAATAATAACATAAATGAACGATGACGTGATGATGTATGCCGCGTACTACGTCAGGACGCGTGCAGACATTGGGCTAGGTGTTTGGTAGATCGGAAGGCCATTTCTTGCTCAATCTTCTTATCGGTCTGAATCGCTTGAATTGTAGGATTTGTATGCTGGATTAATTTGTTGTTAAAAGATGAACTTCTAATCTTGATCATTTCGTTGACTGTTGAGATTTTCAAATCCTTATGTAGGCAAAAATTCGAAATATACCAAGGCGCATTAGTAAGGATACGCAGAATTTTATTCTGGCACCTTTGAATGATGTTTATGTTAGATTTGCAAGAGCAACCCCATAGTTCGATTCCATAAGTCCAAATGGGCACTATGATAGTTTTATACAAAAGTACCTTGTTATCGAGAGAGATTTCAGATTTCCTCCCAAAAAGCCAGTAAAAATCATTTGTTTCTTTTTATATTCAATGTGCGTTCTCCATGTCAATTTCGAATCAATGTGCATGCCTAAATATTTAACAGAATTGCATAGTGGAATTATTGAATTGTTCATGATGATAGGTGGACTGTTGTGATGTTTTAGAGAAACAATTATGTGCTGAGATTTTTCGATATTGATTTTGATATTCCAATCTAAAAACCATTTTTCGAGACTAGATAAATAATTTTGTAACTGACAAGTTGCTGTTCTAATATCGGAATTGCATGAAATAATTGCTATGTCATCGGCGTAAGTGCATATGGTTAGAAGATCATCTGTGGGCATATCGTTTGTGAAAAGAAGATAAAGTACAGGGCTTAGCACACTGCCCTGTGGTACCCCGCATTCTATATTTCTGATGCTCGAAGTCACATCTTTAATTTTGATTCTAAATTTTCTATTAAGCAAATATGAGCTTAAGATATTGAAGTAGTTTGGAAAAGTTGTTTTGATTTTATATAGGAGTCCTGAGTGCCAAACCTTATCAAAAGCCTGACTGACATCTAAGAATACGGCTACGCTGTGTTCCTTTCTATTCATGGCTTCAAGAATACGAGACACCGTTCTGTTGCATTGTTGAATTGTAGAGTGATTTTTTTTCTGAAGCCAAACTGATGGTGAGGAATCCAACTATCATTCGGATGATCTTCTGACAATCTCTGCAACAAAAGTCTCTCTAAAATTTTGATAATATCGATAAAAGACTGATAGGACGGTATGAACTAGCAGTGTGATGGTTTTGTTTGGTTTAGCGATCATAATAATTTCTGCAGTCTTCCACGCTGTGGGCCAATAATTGTATTGAAGTATGGCGTTGAAAATATTGTTATATATAAAATACCTTTGTAGGCAATTCTTTTAACATCTTTGGAGTAATTTTATCCATACCTGGCGAAGATCTATTTTTTATCCTTTTATTTCACATAAGACATCATTGGGTGAAAAATGTCCTAACGGTGTAGAATGTATGGGGTTGATTTACGAATTGTTAATTAAATTATTCTGGGAAATATTTTCGAGCGCTAAAATGCTACTTATGATCAGCAAATGCCTCCGCGCTTTTCTTCGTTGCTTTTTGCCCAAATGAATCCGTTTTGGTTGGTTATTTTCAGAGGAGGGTTTTTTGTTTAGGGGTTTACTTTTGTTTCTGATTGGTTTCCATATGGAATTATCGTACCTATTTAACTGCAATATATACGACCTGAATGTACAATTCTTCCATTCTTCATTTTTTTTTTTCCTCAGCGTGGTATGAGATTTAAGCGATGTCTTATCCGTTGGTAGATGAGAATGTTGCCAGGTACGTCTTGCTCTTCGTTTCTGTGCAATTAGCTTCTTAATCTCTTGCGGAATTATAGATTAATCATTTCTTGGATTAATGTTCGGGGTGATCTGCTTGGTTGTTTCACGTACAATCTCAGAAAAATAATCTATATTATTTTCTATATCAATAACGCTTGTAGGCCTAGATTTGGTAATAATTTTGAATCAAGTATGGATTTGAATTGAATCCAGTTAGAAAGATTGTTTGTGTAGAATATGATTGTTGATAACTGGAGTAGGAAATGTGCTAACGTCACATATTGGAGAAGGAGATCTAAGAGAGATCGTAACTAGATTCAATATTTGAGATTTGAAAGATCAATACCTTTCACAATAAAAAAATCTAAAAGGTCTGGAACTTTAGTAGGGTCAGAAGGCCAATAAGTTGGACTGCAAGTTGAAATAAAGGAGAGGTTATTTTGCCCTATGGCTGCATGAAGAATCTTTCCTTTGGCTGTAGTTAGTCTAGAACCCCAGGCAATATGTTTACAATTAAAGTCACCACCAATGATAAATTTATTACCTAATTGAGAGAAAAATGAAGAAAACTGAGCACAAGAAATTTTGAATCTTGGTGGACAATAAACAGCAGAAACACAAAAATTATATAAATTTGTTTCAACAGAAATTTGAGTTGCTTGTAGAAAATCAACAGAAATATTTGGTAGAACAAAATGCTTTATATTATTTTTGATTATATAGCCGAACCGCCGCGAGCCCTGCCACTTGGGTGATTTGAATTATAAGTAGTGTAGTTATAAATTTTGAAGTAGTTTTTTTCAGTGAAGTGAGTTTCTGAGATTAATAAGATATCTATTAAGTTTAACTTTAAAAAACATTCTACTTCATTTTTGTGAGGTATTAAACCGTTGGCATTCCATTCAGCAATTTTAATTATTTTTGCCATTGCTTTTGTTGTTGACTAACGTGGATAACATATTTATTATTATGGTGTTCTGTTGCAAAAGCTGATTGAAGATATTTTTAAATTCTAAAATAAGTGTTGCTAGAGAATCAGAATCAGGATTTGAAGGTAAATGATTAGAAGCAGAGTAATTGTTTTTTGCAATGTCTGCATAGGATGAATTTTGAATTGTTGGATTTAAGGCCGGAGAAATGTTGTTTATTTTATTATTAGAATTAGAATTATTAGAATTTTTAAAATTTTGGTTATTTGGATTTGGATTTATGACTGATTGATTTACTGAAGTTTTGTTTCTTTGTTCTTTAATTTTTTGGAAGTATGAACAACCGCGATAATTAGCTGGATGAGCACCGTCGCAAAAATAACAACATGCCGGAGCATTCGGATCTTTGGTACAAGCTTTAGTATTATGATTGTCACCGCATTTTAGGCAAGCAAATGATCTATTGCAGTATTTTTTGGTGTGATTAAAGAGTTGACAGCGAGTGCATTGTATAATGTTGTTGGACTTTCTCGGTGGTTCGACGCGTATTATGCAGTTGAATAATTTATAAATGTTATAAATATTTTTGTTATTTCTATTTGGTTCCAGATCAACAAAAAACATATTAAGAGGTTCTTTTGTTATTCTATGTCTAATATTTAGGATATTACGTACGACATGACCCTGTTTTAATAGTTCTAATTTAATTGCATCTGTGCTTGTTGAAAAGTGTACATTTCTAAGAACAACCCTATAAGCCTTCTCTTCTTTTAATTGATATGTATGATATACGGCATTAGTTTCTTTTAGATGTCTGGATAAAGTTCGAAAATGGTCGACAGAATTACATAGAATTTTAAATGTATTGTTAGCTAAACTTCTCAGGAAATATTGATCGTGCGGAATTATTTCATTTAATTGATTAGACATATCATTAATATCGTCAACTCCGTAAATAAATATTGGAGGGGGCTTACTGACTGGAGCCGGTTTAACTGAGTTGTCATCATTAGCTGTTTCTATTGTTGAAAGGGCCGAAAATCGGTTTTGAATTTTGACATCTATTCCTAATGGTTCAAATGAAGTTTTTCTTTTTTTGAAATTGACTACTTGCCATGAATTAGGAGGTTTCTTGACATCAGAATGTGGTTGAGTGAGGCTTGTAGATGCACTATTACTAGATGATATTACTTCCTGTCTTGAGTCAGAAACTGATGAAGTTGAACGCAGCGAGACCTTTTCCGATGTAAACATATTGGTCCGACCTTCTTCGCGAGGTATCTTGCTGTATTTGCTGGATCCAATAACGGTCTTTCGTAGTTTTGGGATTGCTGATGGTTTACTGTTCGATTCCATATTCGTTTCTATATCTTGATTGAAATGTAAGACATTTTTTTGATTCCACAAACGCACATTAGAGTCTCGATTATGTATGGTTTTTTGTAAGCAATTATTTAATCATCTGTACACTTTTGTAAGCTTTTCATGCAATTTTAATAAACCGTAAAATTCAATCTGACCAAAGTAGAAAAATAATGCCATTTGACGGTCAAAAATGATTAGACATATGCACATCAAGTTATCAAATATTTTATAGACATTTTAATAATAGGTATAAATTTTGTTTACATTTCTATGGATTCAGTACCAATGCTTATTCTATAGACTGCGAGGCGGCGCTTACGCGCTTCGATATATTTTCTAAAACAGCCATGTAGCACGATTGTTTTGAAAAAAAGTTCAAATTTGTCAGAAAAATTCAAAGTATGAAAATTTTTTTGGAGTATAAAAAAACTATTTCTTTCAAAAATTCCAAAATTCGCAATAATCTGATTTTTTTCAGTTTTCAAAAAAACTTAGATGTTTTTTTTTAAAAAAAAATATTTTTTCGTACTGAAAGTTTCAGAAATTTGCCTTCAGGCAGGATGCCATGCACCACTACTTACCAAATTTATTTATGTTAGGTATTTGGTACGTTTGGGAGAATTCGATTTTAATACGGATTTCGATTCAGCTGAGGATGTTGCTATTGCCAAAGCAGTTGCTCATGAACAATACAACAGAAGAACACGTGTTGCTGATATTGCCATTATCTATCTGCAAGAAGACGCTCCATATTCTTGTAAGTAATTAATTAGTTTATTGGTTGTAAAAAAATATTTTCTTTTTTTTGTTTTATTTCATTTCAAATATCTACTTTTCCCAAGCGTAAAAATAAACAACATAGAAATACAAAAATATGAGAGCGTAAAATACCTTGGGATTCATCTCGATAGAAAGTTAAGCTAGACAACGCACATCAAAATGAAAAAAAAACAGATGGAGAAAAAGTTCAAAGAGTTGTATTAGCTAATTGGCAGGAGTTCAAATATGTGCTATGAAAATAAACTCCTTTTATATAAAACAATAATTATCCCACCTGGACATACGGAATTGAGCTATGGGTGTGCGCAAGCAATTCAAATATAAAAAAAATACAAGTGGCGCAATCAAAAATTTTAAGATGCATTGTGAACGCACCCTAGTATGTTACAAATGACACCCTATATAAAGACATAAAAATAAAAACTATTAATGATATGATAAAAGAAAGGAGCAAAAAATACCACGAAAAACCACCAGGTCACCCAAACAAATATTTAAAAGAATTGAGCAAGGAATATTGAACGAAGATTGAAAAAAAATGGCCATACGATCTTAAATAAAATGTCAAAAAATAAAAAAAGAGAGATATCTCATAGGAGATAATCTCTTAAATGCATTAACACCCAGCAAATTGTCTTAAAAAATGTATATTATTTTGATTGACAATAAAACTATGCAAATAAAAAAATATCTACTTTTATCTAAAAATCTAATTTTTCTTCACTCTGAAATTTTAATTAGGTTTGTGATATTATACATTGTGGATATAAAACATTAAAATTAATCAAAATCAGATGAGCAGGATTAGTATCTTTGATATATTTCTCTTGATATTTACATAAATTTTTCATGACCCGACATCCACTCTGGTCATAATTTTCTTATGACCGACATAGCATTGAAACTGAAAAAACATTTGAAAAATGATAAAAGAAGCTTTATGAAGTTATGTTCTTACGGCAATTCATGAAATTCTAATTTAATCTAATTACAGATGCTATTTATCCAGTATGTTTACCATTTCCTGAAGATGTGGCAAACAAAAACTTTACGACTACTATATATCAAGAATATCCTTATGGTGCAGGATGGGGTGCTACACAATACCGTGGGTTTGATTAACTAATAGAAATGTTATTATTATTATTTTGATAACTTTCATACGAAACGCAAATAACTGCTTTTAGAAGGAGCAACAAGTCCAACTTTGCAAGAGGTGAGATTACCTGTAGTGACAACCGAAATGTGCCAAAATGCGTATGCTGGTTTTCCCAATCAGGTTAGTTGTATAATTTAATACTCTTTCAAAATCAATTGCCAATAATTAGGTTTTTATGGAATAATAATTTTGATTTTTCAACCAGAAGGAAGCCTGAAATAATGCAGTTCATTTATTGGTTTGTGCTTGAAAATATAATTGGAAATATGTTTCTAAGTAGAAATGATTCTTACTCTTCACAGGTTCATCTTATTTAGAGAAACTCTAATTATAAAAATATCGTATAGATATATGACAACCGTTTTGCTCAAAAACAAATGCGACATTGTTAATGTTAACATTCATATTCTTTACAACAGTTGTCTTAGCATTGTCAATTTCTGATTGCTGATCAAGTGGGGCGCATGGCATCGTGCCTTAAGACAAATTGCTGGAACTTCCCGTGCCGCAATTAAACATTCGAGGAATGAAAATAATTAATAATTGTTTAGAAAAATTTCAAATAGATTATTTATTACATACTGTAAACTGGAATTAAACTCTATTACATACTGGAATTTGAAAATTTTTGAAAATATTCGTTTTTTTTAAATTATCGAAATATTCTCAAATTTTTGTAAGAAATCTTTTTTTTTTAATTTTTAGTTTTTTTTCGAAAATGATGAAAAATTTCGTAAAATTTGAATTTTTTGAAAACTGATTTTGTTTTTGAATGTTTTCAAAATTATTAAATTTTCTGTAAGTGCATTTTTTGCACACCGTCTACCCAAGCAAAGTGTTTTTTGTATTAATCTAATCGAAAGATCCGTTCTCTCAAACACTGCATAACCGTTTTAACACCCTTTGCGCTCCATACCTCCGAGACGGCAAAATTGCCTTTTGCAAAAACGCCTCCCGATCGAGTACGAACCGAATGATTTTTCAATTTTATAAATCGATTATTCCATATCGAAGACATTTGGTTGAACCATATACGTGAATTTTAAAATTAAACATCTTGGTACGGAACCTAAAAAAAATTACACAATGTGGGTACACATTATTAAAATCTATAAAATATCTGATAATTTGATGTACATATGTCCAATAAACAGTTTTGGCCGCCAAATGTCATTTTTTTAACCTATTTTTATTGAGAGTCTATAACCGCTAGACCTACCTACCCAAAAATTTAATCAGTTATTCATCTTGCCAATACAAGTAAAATGTTTTTTGAGTTATTAGACTCGGGCGGTCCGTTCTCTTAACAACTGTGTTACCGTTTTTGGCACTTTTTGCCCCGTATCTTTGGAACGGCTAGACATGCCTTTACCAAAAACTAATCAGCACGTCTCCTTATCAATACAAATCGGAAGTTTTTCGAATTATTCAAATCGGTTAATCGGTGTTCCCGAAATCGTCGACAAAAATTTGTATCCGCACACACACACATACACACGCACACACACAAATACACACATACATCTATTTTGTCTAAGGTATGCCAAAATATTAAATTATTTTTATTTTTCACCGATGCCATATAATTGGTACCAGAGCAAAATATACCAATATATCAGTGCCCCCTCCTACTATATTTTGTGATATAGTTTTAATGATTTTTATTAATAATTTTTTAAGCAATATTTTACTTTTAAAAAAATAATATTTTTTTAAATTACATCTTTTGCAATCATTTTAGATAATAGATGAGAGAGTGATATGCGCTGGCTACAAGCAAGGAGGTATTGACGCTTGCTCTGGAGATAGTGGTGGACCACTTTTTTGGCCAAAGGTATTTTTCAGAATATTTTATTTCTTGCATAATATAAAACGATTTTAAAATTTTTTCTAAAAGATTTCTAATCAAATGTTGAATTATGTTGATCATTAACTTGTAGATGTAAGCATCGGTTATCTTGTATTCTTGAAAAATTATTTTAAAAGTCATTCTTGGCAGCTGTAAAAATTTTATATTCAATGATGTTGACGTGGGATTTTACTTCAAAACTTACTATTTGAAAATCTGTAAAATTTCTTTTTTACTTGATGTTATGACCTCCAATAATTTATTCATTTCAACATTTAAATTTTAAATATTACATCTTTTATATCAAGTATTCTTAACAAATAATAGTTTATATATAGTACTTCCTTTTATTACAGGTAATATTTGGAAATTTTGGTCAAAGAACAATCTATTATTTGATCGGAGTGGTATCTTATGGATACAGATGCGCTGAACCTGGATTTCCAGGCGTATACACAAGAGTTAGCGCTTATTTGCCATGGATAACAGAAAAACTAAAACAATGAAATAGACATTAAAGAAATATTAATAATAAGAAGAATATATAGTGAATTATCTATTGTATTATTAATTTTAAAAAAGACAAATAAAAACATTGTACTTTTCCTAATTCCAAAGAAACTCTAAAAATTAATAATTGCTAGTTCTTCCAACTTAATTTTTCAACGTTCAACTTAATATTTCGAACAATTTTTGATTTTTTAAAATCGATTCTGGATTGGGAGCTAAAACGCGGACGGAAAAGTTTTACACCTTTTAGCAAATTACAAAGAAACGGTTCGGCCGAATGTCGCACACAACTGAGAAACGATAGTCATCATTGAGATACATCGAATGGCTTTTAAATTTTTGGAGTCGATTCAGGTGTTTTCGAACAAACGTCGATGAAAGGCTAATTTTGAAAAACGCCAAAAAACGCTACTAATATTTAAAACTTTGACAAATTTTTAATATTATACAACTTGCTATAGGACCGTAATATTTTAGTATGTTCTAGAAGACCATGATTTCTATCGCCAAAAAAAAGTTAATAAAAATCATCGTCAAAATTTTTTTTAACAGTTAATTACAGGACATTGTGCCAGCAAATCTTTACCAAAAACTAATCAAGTCGATTCTCAACCAATATCTTTCGAACGTTCGATTTACGGCAAAAAATCTGTTCACACACACGCACACACACACACGCACACACACTCACACACACACATACTTTTTGAAATTTGGTCTCATTCGATTCAGGATTAGCGAATCGGATTTTTTGATAAAAACATAAGCTTCTCCTTCGGGAAGTTAATAATATGATGTGATATTTAACTTTATGTAATATGTACTTTGTATTTCAAATGTCGCGCCATTATTATTAGTGTTTGTTGATAATGATGTTTTCTCCCACCATCTTATATATATATATATATATATATATATATATATATGTATATATATATATATATATATATATATATATACGTATTCCGTAGCAAACAACCTATTTATTTCAAAAATTTCAAAATTCTCAAAAATCTATTTTTTTAACTTTAATTTTTGCTACGGAAAATGCAAGCAATTTATCTTAAGGCATGACTAATTAATTTCATGCATCATGTGACTGCTATCTATATTAGCTAGGTAAAAATAAAATTTTAGAGAATGTGTTAGAAAATATAATATATTATGAAGTTTTATCACAAACTCATTATAGGAACTCATTCCTCTAGCCGTTAGAGTCTAATGTATTTCGCCAAACTATAGCATAAACGTGCATGTACGCCCTTCTATAAACAACAAGAGTTGAAAATGAAACGGCAGATGTCTCCGCTTCATATACCTGGGTCACTTTAACCTGTAATCGCCGCACAAACCTGCAAGGATTTTGCTGGTTTCGGTCGAAACATCGTTTCGGTAAGATCATACTTCACAGGATCATTTCTGTAGTATGTCTACACAATCTCTTCACTCAAACGTGGAGTTGATGCGACCTCGACGATGAGTCGTAGCATCGCAGCCTGAGCGTGAGAAAGGTGATCGAACTTCATTTGGAGTTTGATCATCATCGATGACCGTTCGCCAAAATCCTTCGTGGATTCTGGTCATGGGTATGATGCTTTCTGAGAGGTCTCCTTAAACATTATATATTTTATAACCTTTCAGTAGGAATAACTTATAAGTAATTTTATAAGTAAATCATAAACAAATTTTCAAAAACTTTTTTGCATATTTTTACGTTTTAAGGTTTCTGAGCATTTCAGCATTTCTTATGGATGTGTATGCGAGGGTTTTGTGTGAATACGATTTTTCATGCTAGAGTTTTCGGATCAACCAATATGAATTATTCAAAAAAAACGGAGATTATGATCAGTTTTTGGGAAAAACGAAGGATTTTTTTTGTTTTCAAAATTATTATTATAATTGACATCCCGTAGGGTAAGTTATAGTAATGGGCCAAAAATGAAAATTTTTGCATATATATCTTTACGTTTCAGAGTTTTCTCAACATTTTGGCATACCTGAGAAAAAATGGATGTGTGTGTGTGTTTGTCTGAAGACAATTTTCCGTCGACGATTTTGGGCGTACGGATTGTCCAATTTATGGTTAAAATAACATTCGATTCCTAATGGTGAGGAGACGTGCTGATTAGATTAGATTGACGAAGACATTTCCAGCCGTTTCGAAGATACGGAACTTAAAGCATGTCAGTTTTTGAGAGCACTAAGCATCCGATTCGAATGTTTCAAAAAAAAATTTGTATGTGCTCATGGCAGTATATATATTTTTTGTTTTCAAAATTATTTTTCAACATAAAAAATGCTTTGAATTTTAATTTTAATTCTAGCTAAATTCCTAAAGCTCACTTATATATTTCAAATAAATAATTTGAACTTTGCAATTCAATTTATATCATTTTATAAGAAATATTTTCGATTAGTTGAACAATTGTTATTAGAAATATAAGATAAAATGTTTTATCCGCGTTTACTCCGCTTGATTAAGTTTCATTTATTAACTTTAAGTAAGGAAAGTTATTGTAATCATCCAAAAATCGAAATTAAATTTTTTTACATTTCTTCACGTTTTGAAGGTTTCTAAACATTTTGGTGTACCTCAGAAAAAATGAGTGTCTTTGTGTATGTATGTATGGATACAACTTTCGTTCACGTTTTCAGGGACACGGATTAACCGATTTGAATGGTTAAAAACATTATTTATTTTTTGACATAGGCAAGTTTAGCCGTTTGGAAGATACGGAGTAAAGAGTGCAAAAAATAGAAATCGAGTTTTTGAGAGAACGAAGCATCCGATTTGAAGAAACGTTCAATTCATAATGACGGAGAGAAGTGGTGATTTGTTTTTGGCAAAGGCAAAATTATGTTTTTTTTTTCAATTTTTTTTTGTATATCAAAAATAATTCTGATTTTATTTTTAATTCTTGTTAAAGTTCTAAAGCTCACTTATATACTTTAAATAAATAATTATAGCTCTGCAATTCAGTTCATATAAATCTTATAAATATTAGGCAATGTTACAGTATTTATAATAATCTATTTGAAAGCATTTAATATTCCTCGAACATTTTGTTACAGTACGGAAAGTTCCAAGCATTGGTCTTAGGGCACGATGCCATAAACGACTAGTGTACTTTATATATAAATTTATATAAAAGTCCAATTCATAATCTCATATATTTTGTCTATAAAATACGAATAATCAAAAATGCAGTATTTATAATGATCTATTTGAAACTCATATTCGAATACTTATATTTGTGTCGTCCAGGGCGTAATTTGGCATTGGATATTTCCCGCAACAGATGATGTCAGGGGTGTATTGTCCGAGGGTTCTAATATTATTATTAGTATGTTGTTTGCATTTTTGGAAGAAATTTAAGGGGATACTAAACCTACGGGTAAATATTCGAACAATATCGAAAATGTAATGTAATGGTAGAAGTTTTCTATTATTTTCTTAATGTGGTTAAACACAGTCGGTATGTCAGATTTTTTGTGTAAAAGCTCTGTTGAGCAGTAGTGTCCAGTAGTTGAGTCAAGTATCAGGTTTAGTATTAGTCTGTATCTGTAGTTTTATTTATTTCAGGTTAGTTATTATTCTGTATACACTTTTTGTGTGCAAAAGTCGTAATTACATTTTTTTCCAAAACAATGGTGTTTCGTGGATGTTTTTAAGCGCGAAAGCGCCCTAAGGCCTAACGGATAAACATAGGTTCGGAACCCATGGAAATGTAAACAATATTTGTTTCTATTATTAAAATCGCTATAAAATATCTGATAATTTGAAGTGCATATGTATAATGTTCATTATTCTTATGGATTTTTTTTTAATTTATTATTGTTACTGTTATGATTTTAATTATCATTCATTCATTTATTTAATCCTTTTAGTTTTTATTTTTAACTTCCCGTTGGGTAACTTATAGTAATCGCAAGAAAATCGAAAATGAAAATCGACTCACATATCACATATACATACATAATTTTTCTAAAAATTGTCTCATTCGATTTAGAAAGACTTGAAATGTCGAGATAACATAAAATCAGCAAATCGGATTTTTTCGCGAAAACAAACTTTTTCCTTGGGAAGTTAAAAATCGTATTTTATGTGGTATGTCATATTTAGTTCAAGGTAAAAATAAAATTTAACAAATATGACAAGTACTAAATTAGAAAAAATAATATACATATTATGAGTTGTATCATGTACTCATTTACGCCCAACGCTACTTCTATAAGCAAAACTTGAAAATGGAATGTTAGATGTCAGATGTCACCGCATCGTATACCTGGGTCAAGTTAACCTGTAAACGCCATACAAACCTGAAAGGATTTTGGTTGTCTCGGTCGAAACGTCGTTTGGGCAAGATCATACTTCACAGGATCATTTCTGTAGTATGTCTTCACAATCTCTTCACTCAAAAGTGGAGTTGATGCGACCTCGACGATGAGTCGTAGCGTCGCACCCTGAGCGTGAGAAAGGTGGTCGAACTTCATTTGGAGTTTGATCATCATCGATGACCGTTCGCCAAAGTCCCTCGTGGATTCTGGTCATGGGTGTGACGCTTTCTGAGAGGTCTCTTTAAAATTCATTATCTTGTGCGTTCCAAAACCAACACCAACGAATTGGCATTCCTCATAACTAGAATGATAGAAGACGTTCGGGAACAGTAAAAGTTTCAGCAAGATACAAAAATGAACAGTCATTAACTTCCCGCAGGGCAAATGAAAATTTTTATATATCTATACGTTTCAAAAAAGGTTCCTGAACATTTTGGCATACCTTACAAAAAAATGATGTATGTGTGTGTGTGCGGATACAAATTTTTGTATTTTGGGAACAACCGATCAACGACGATTTTGGGAACACCGATCAACCGATTTGAATAATTCAAAAAACATTCTATTCTTATTGATAGGAAGACGTACTGATTAGTTTTTGGCGAAGGCAGGTCTAGTCGTTTTGAAGATACGGGACGAAAAGTGCCAAAAACGGTAA